TACGTTCTGGACGAAATGACAGTGGGGTATGCTTTTCTCTGAGTACTTCAGTTCCCTCTAACAATTGTCATTACACTTATGCCCCATTCAACCATCGAATCACATGGTTCAGGTAGAATGGGCCCCATTTTTGGCCTAAATAATAAGGGACCAAGACTCACTCCACCACAAGAATAAAATATAATCACAGTTCATTCAGTGCTGCATAACTTCAGCAGTTAATACAGCATCATACAACTCTGTTTTTGATAGAAGTAAAAATTTCATAATGGTGATATTCAAAATACAGCTTTTTTATTACCTGGTTCACTTACCATTATACACTTTATGGGTTTACAATTTGGCAAGACACTATTCAATGGGGGGACAAAAATGTCCTGTAAATCCACTGTTCCAGGAGGGGAAAAAATCAAGCAAATAACTGATGTAATTTTCACCCAAATTCACAAGTCACCGTGACAAAACAGTGGGGTGTCAGGGGGTGTAGTGCTAGCTGTCCCCAGCTTGAATTTACTTCCTAAAAACGTATATACCAGGATGGTGCCTGAGCACTTTGTAAAATTATTCAACCTAATGCCTGACTTTAGTAACACTGATGCACACTGGTATGACACCAACACAACTGCCATCTTGCGAGAGAGAGTATTGATCAGACCCCACTGGGCATGGCACAACCCTCCTCCTGCTACAGCTGTGGATCAATGAAATATATACAACCCTTCCTGAAGGCAGAAATCAATGCAGAGGGGAGAGTATGCAGTGGAGTGCTACAGCACAAACTGTTCCATATTGAAACCACTGGATTATGATCAAACTGTAGCAAGTGCTAGTGAGTGACATGCAAACTCTGCGCAAGAAAACCAGTCCCTGTAAATGTGAGTACACTCATGCTCTGTGTCATCACATAATTGCATATGCATAGGTTAATGTTACCTAACAGCAAGTGTTTGGAGGTGCACCCCACACTGTAGGAGATACTCTGCCAGCTGATCTCAAGAGATTTGCAGTCTTCAACCCCTCCATCCAAGCATATTTCACTCATACCTTACTTTTCGGAAGTACCTGGTTTGAATCTTGGCTAGAGAATCAGCTGATTGTGTATGGTTTCCATTATGTTCCCCAGTATCTCCAACTAAACACATCTACTTCCTTCTGTGTGTCTCCTAATTCATAAGCATCCTTACATGCATCACTACATAACCTCATCAGTTGAGGCATCATTGACATATGAAAGAAACATAATGGACCTCAAGGCAAAGTATTGACGTACTTTGTTTGTATATGAGAAAGTCTTTAATGTAAGTCTCAATTTTGAAACAGAGTTTCGCACATTGTCACAATATTTACATGTAAGCAGCACAGTGCCAGTCTGTTTCTGCTCCATTACCTGCAGGGAACAGGTGAGACATCTAGGATCCATACTACTGAACCTTATTATGTTGCAAGTACAAGCATCAGTATTTCCCCAACAGTCAGTCACTTGGTTTCATTCCTAGTCTTTCAATTCACTTTTCTGCAATGGGGACCAATATTTGGATTGGGTCTATGAGCCTACCACTTGTCTGAACTGTGTGTACCAAACTTGGCCTTGCATTCCAGAGACACGCAATCAAAACTGAGAAATGAGGTATTTGTATTAAGATTACAGCCTGCTGGAATGTGGCATCGTGTAGTTCAGTAGATAGGTACCAATGTTTTGGAGGAACCTGTTGTGTCCCTTTCAGGCTACATAGAAGGTGGAGGCAGCAGGTATCTCCAAAACATTCGTACCTATCTGATCACACAATGTCAGATGCTAACAAAAAGAACAATAAATAAAAAGTAAACATAAAATTAAAATTTCCTCCAGCCAAGACAGTTCCTGGGACCCTCGAATCCCATATAATGAGGTATCTATGTGTTTATTTAGAATACTTGAATTGGCTTGTAGCTGATTCATTATGGGGAAAAGCTCTTGTGATCATTCCCACATCCTGACCTCTGCACCTCATTAAGTGACCTACAAATCATCTTCATTGCTGATAAGGCTAAGTCCAGGAATCTTTCTGCTGCTATATGATGCAATCAATGTTTGGTTTCATAGGCAATGAGGCTGCTGTAATTACAAAGCTACACAGCTCTGTGGTGAAGTCTGCTAAATTTCGAACACAGCGTGTAGAGAAAACGGTTATGTACCATAAGCACGGGGGGGTTATATGGCAACAGTCTGTCATTTTGACAGCTGCATAGCATGCACTCAGCTCCACAGTGCAGTGCCTGACTTCAACTGTTGATACATGTTTGTAAGATGTGAGGTCTTCATGACAGAACACTCATGCTGTGGTTTTCTGGACCACTGTGGTTACTGTGTTGTACCTGATAGGTGGGTACCAAATGCTCAGCATGGTTTCATACCCAGAAGACCACAATATGGTACCTATTTAGCTATATAACACAATGTTTTGTTTGCAAACTCAGATGTTAATTACCAAAATCAAAAAAGTCTACTCCTGGACTATCGTGAGCCAATCACTGGCCCTTCATCAAAGCTTCAATGTTTATAAAATAACGCATAACTTTGGCTTTGAAGGTTAAGCCGTGTGGTATTTTGAAAGTGTTCAGATGTTTCAACGCATGCTGCATTTATCATCTTTAGGGAAAGTGCGGGGCTTAGTATTATGGGAGGAGTAAGAATGGGGTTGGACAGTACTGGTGGACTAATTAATGCTGAATATAATCAAACCCTTCTCTCAATTAGCTAACCAACCATCCAATCATGGGCCTGGGTCTCTTCCTTGAGAAGCTGATGGGTAGTCTACTGGCCATGATATTCCTTGTTTTGGTACCAAAATACTCATCACTAGAAGATGAACCTGTTCTTTGCCTGGGATATGATTGCTTTTCTTGTCTGCATCACAGTATATAGCAGCTAAGACTTTAAGAAAGAATAGCACTGAAAATAAACTAAAGTTTACTCATGTGACAACAACAACAACAGCAACAATGATGATGATGGTGATGATGATGATGATTATGATACTTGCTTTAACAGCTGTGGCTACTGTGCATACTGGCAAGAGTACAGAGTAAATTTTTCAATATTGTTTGGCATTCTGCACTAGATATGCGGTAAGAAGCAGGAAAGTTATATTATTATTTGTATTAGATGAAAGCACACCAATGAACTGCATCCTGAGTCAGTTCAATGCATTTCAGATCTTTACAACCAATTTCTTTACATCCATCTCAGCATTAACTTTCCATCTGCACTGAGACCTCTCAAATATCTTTCTTCAAGGGTTTAAAAATAAATTTCTTAGCACTATGACAGTGTCCAGGGCACAGAAATGAAATGGAATAAGATGTAAATAAATCTCCACATGAAAATTACAACCTCGGGAGCCTGACATTAATCTAAATAATATTCAAAATTCACTTCCTACCTCATACAGAACACTGCGTCTATATTACATACATAAGTGGTTAGTACTGTTTAGCCAAATAATTGCTGTTTATTCTGAGAATCATGAAAAGTCCATAAATATATTCTGTGGGCAAAGTCCAGAGCTGTATATGAATGTATAATAATGACTTTGTTTAATAAGAGATTTAATCACCTAAATTCTTATGTGGAATGTTTTCTATAGCTGGGTCACAGCTCCCGTAGTGTTAAGATTTATTCTGCTGTGAGGATATTGTCCATTGTCTGATTCAAGAAGATGCGTAGCTTTTCCGTCTCGTGTCTTCAACAAAAAAGAAAGGAAGCTTCTTCTTATCCCAGACATATTAATAAACCATTGTCACAATCCTGTAGAACCACATTATATTCTAGAATTGGTTGGTAATCTGTAATATGTTATCCTGTCCATTCAGAGGCTCCACCCCCCACTTTTGTATGCATCTTGGTCGCACCTTCTAAAGCACAGTGGTAGCCATGTGTGCTGCCTGCTATAAGGCACATAATGTCTCATAATAAACAGCTGTTTGACATCTATAGAGACATAAAAGAAGAGCAAGAGATTAATGTATAAATGAATAAATTCTAATATTTTTCCATTTAATACAATTAATGAATTTTGGACATTATCTATCGTCCTGTTTCTAATATACCATCATCACAAACTTTCAGATCTTATTTTACCATTTGTCATTTTTCATTTTTTTCAGTCATTATGGATGAGCGTACAAGTGGGTTCACTGATCCCTCAACAAAGGCAGGTTTATAGAGTTGAGGCAGTTATTTGATTTCTTTGAATTAACTTGTGTATAAATTTGAGTAAACAGAATGAGATAATATGATACTGAGTTAATGAATTTGTAAGGCTGTGGAAGGAGATCGTTAGAGCTCATTTTTATACCCAGCATTCACCTGCAGGGGCTGAGGAAAATCATGGAAAAACTCAGCTCAGAGTACCAAACCTCTGGATCAAGAATGAAACCAAAAACCTCCCGATGTAGAAGGAATGGTATCCATTCACCTGCAGTGTTCAATAAGATTATCTTTCTCTTCCCTTGAGGTTTTCAAAGACAGTTTTTATGTGTATTTCTTCCATTATATGTATACACTGGCCGTCTTGTAGTGCACTCAATTTCACCTGTCACTTCACAACATGTTTCGGCAACATAGTGCCATCATCAGGTGTCCCAATTATGTCAATCTATTCCATTGCCTGCCCTCATATATTTTCACAACACCATTTAAAAAGTATTTAAAAAGTCCGTATTTGTCAAGCATGATAAATTTACACTCGCTAAAACTTGTTAAGATAATTCATCTTATTTGTCTTAATTAAAACTTGCATGTGGTTCGTTCACTACGGGGTCGTTTTTCTTATTTTCTGTGTAAACCGCATCTTGTGATGTGTGTTCCCTTCTTAATTGCGAGTGTATTTCTTGTTTGCCCTGTTCACTCATAACTTTCCACCCATCACAAACTTCCCAGTTTAATCATCCTAAGAACATAAACTAATAGAATACAGATACACTAGTTATGACACTATTTTTATCACCCTATCTTGCAGATAAGAATGAGCCTTCACGTTTCTTGGGAGAAGGGGTAAGCTTCAAGGCAAAGCTAATTGGAATTCTGGAAGTAAGAGAGGCTCGAGGAGACAGAATGTGTCAGGAGGCACTTGCAGATCTAAAGATGGCAATACGAGCAGCTGGTGAGCACAAACAGAGAATAACCATCAATATTGCCATTGATGGTCTTCGACTCAGGGACGAAAAAACAGGGGTAAGTATTTAAAATGTTTTGGGCCCAGAACTCAGTGACATTATGCATGAGTATTCTCAAGACATGCAAACATTGTATAGCTTTCTATAATCAGGTCAGGCAAAGAATGAACACTAGTGGTGGGGGTACAAATCACTTGCCTGCTTTCCACCCTACCTAAATTATCTCTGCTTAATCAACAATAGTAACAAACTGAGAGTGAAAAGAGACAGAGAGAGCCAGCAGATGGATGGAAAGAGCCAAATTAAAATAACTGGAAATGGGAGAAAGCACATAGTTGGAAGGTAGCTGCTAGGCAGATAGGTGGAGTAGAATCTGTGTTCATTCTTTCCCTAACCCAAATCAGATGACATTCAATTCCTTAAGAATGCATATTATAATAACAGTATTAAAAGATATGCATGGAAATTGTATCAGTGCAACATGAAAAAGCAAAATAATCTGATTTTCTTGTGTGGGACATGATGCAAGGCCATCCAATTGTAATTATTGTTTAAACACATTAAGGGGGGGATTTTGAGTCTGCCTGGGAGCAGTGCATAGCTCTTGACCTGCTTGCAGTTAACATGAAACACAGTGCATGACCATGACCTGTATGAACCAGGAACTGCATGTACACACAAACAGTTACAAGAAATCAGAAACTAGCAACAGCATCACATTTTGTGACAGTTCCTAAACCAATCAGAATATGAAAAATAAGTAATAATTTCCAGAAATTATAAAATTAATTTAATTAAAAAATAAACAGAAGCTCATTTAAAACCTTCAGTGATAGTCCTCTTTGGTACATGTATGACAAATTTGTATGCTACTCAGTGGTTGTAACAGTTTTACAAAGGCTTTTGCAGCCTGTGTATAATTAATGTGTAACTTCAGCATTTGGGATTTTAATGCTGCTAAACTCCGAAAGCCACTGATTACGGTGGCCTTGCAGGTTGAGGCATGAACTGTCTTCACTTGTATGCTAGGATCGTGGGTTTCAATCCCACTAAAGGCATGAATGTCTGTGTGTGTGCACTTATACTGTGTTTGTGTTATCCTGTGTGTAGGTAGTGGCCTTGTGATGGGCTGATCACTCATCCAAGGAGACCTACCATCTGTGTAAAAAAGATTACGACACTGACGAGGCCAGGGCTCAACAAAGGGCTCTAGTGCCATTGTTGAATGAAATGAAAATGAAACTCTGAAAGCCAAAGTTACACAGTGTTAAAGAAAATTAGAGAAGAACTGAAAAACATAGCGATCTTATTTTAAAGTGAGGTGGAGGGGGAAGAAGCGAAATTAAGGAAATGTAATGTAGAATTTTATGGAAAAGCCAGCAGACCATATGAAGCAGCAGCAGTAACTATTACAGCAACTATATGGATGATTTTGGTACAGACACAATAGATTAAAGAGGTAGACATTACACAAACATGCACTGTTACTGCCTTTGATGTGTTGTGGTCTATTAAAATACTACAGATGTTGCAAAACATATTTCAGTAATGTCATTTGGATCGAGATGGTGAGTGAATCATAAGCTCTCCTTCAATCTCTGCAGGACTGCCTGTATCATCACCCAGTTCACAAGATATCCTTCATTGCCCAAGACATGTCGGACTCCAGAGCTTTTGGTTACATCTTTGGGTCACCAGATACAGGCCACAGGTTCTTTGGAATCAAGACAGACAAAGCAGCAAGCCAAGTAAGTTAAAAATGTGACATTTGAGTTTCTCATGGTGGTAACTTCTGTCTTACGGGACATGAAACTGCACAGTGTGGTTCATATCTGTTTATGTATTTTGGAGGTACCACATTCCTCCAAAAAACGTCGATTAACACCTACCAGACTACACGGCGTCGCATCTCAGAAGTTTAATATACCTTAGAAACATTCTGAATTCCATGAATAAATTTCACCAGGAATTTTTTCTATGATGAATTTGGCCAGAATCAGGAATGAAAAATGTGTACAAACTTTTCAGGCTCAAAAATTAAGCCACAAACAATATATAACAACTTGATATTAATTAAGGAACAGAATGACTTTCTTTTTTTCTTTCTTTCTATATTTATTTGTCGTTTATGTGACGATGCTATCAGTAGTGCTGACTGTAGTTTTGGATGTTAAGATGAGTAGTGAATAACGAATTGGAAAGGACCCTTCCACCCCAAAGATGCATGAGGTAGGTTCCTCCAAATTCCTGCTTCCCTTTGCCCAGCCCCCTGCAGCATATTAAGAACATGGAGGCATACACCCACTTATCAATAAGAAAATGAACTATATGCCCATGCAGAGAAGACCAGTGTATCCTTCCACATCTGCTATACCTTGTTGCACCTCCCTCACAAAAGTACTTCGATGTATTTCCCTCTGGGTGTCTAAGTCATTTTGTTCACACAGATGTTGGCAGTGACAACCTTTGCTATGAAGCGTTCTGGTTGACACATGCCCACTGGGGGGGGGGAAGAGAATATAACAGGCAGAATGAACTATCCATGGGACTTCTTTCTGTAGTCTTACTATAATTAAGGTCATGTCACAAGATCATTAATGTATGAGTACACACTATGGCAATACCTTTCACCCAGAATAAGTAAAACCTACACACATTTCTAACTTCTGATCATAAAGAATATCGCACAGCTATAGTTTATCATCACCAAACCAGAAAGTAAATATATTTCATGCAGTTACTTATTTTTCCATTTTCCACATAATTAATTCAAAAGATTTATCATATAGTAAACAGGGGAACCCCCATTGGATGTTCCTCACTTCAAGGTCCTCCCTCATTTAATGTTCAATTTCACTGATCCAAGGTGTTAAATTTCCACCATTTAAGGTTTTCCTCAATTTAACATTAAACTCCACTACCCCCCCCAAAAAAAAAAAACTTCAAGGGGGGGGGGGTAATGTTTGTAACTTTTCTGTTTCCTCCCTTATACTGACAAGGAAAGCAACCACATCCTGGGTGAAGAGTGGGTACTTCTGATTGTCCTGTGTAAAGGGAGATTTAAAATTTGTGAAGTATACCAATCTCCAATGACATGACCCTACTACCAACTGTCAAAAGTTACTAGTGGGAACACAGTACCTTGAAAACTTTATTTTACTTTTGGAAACCATCCAATATGACACTGGTTTTGGTTGGCAGGTTGTGATAGCAATGCGAGACTTGTTCCAAGTAGTCTTTGAACTGAAGAAAAAAGAAATAGAGATGGCAAAGCAGCATATAGAGCAACACCAAATCAAGCTGGGGGGAAGCCTCTTCTTGGAGTCGGGACCAAATTCCAAGGTAAGTCTAGCAAAGCAGCTCATGAGCTTAGTCTGGCCAGAGCAGCCTTGCAGTTGTGACATGCTACTGCTGTATGTGTTTTAGAATGACCAGACTGGGGGCAAGATGAGGACTATCCAGGAAGACTCTGTCAAGGAGAACGGTTCTGTGGGGTCATCGGGAAGGCCAGCTCATCGGACGTCTGAGGTGATAGCTGATCTACTTGACCTGGAGTTCGAGCTTACCAGCATCCAACAGGGACTGCATCAGATGCAGAGGATAACACCATCAGATCCATTTGGACCTTCATCAGCCAAAGATGTTACATTTGGAAGTGATCCATTTGGTGATTCTTTCACCCCAGATACCATGATTCCACCTTCTAAAATTGCCAAGTTTAAACCTGTAGCAATTCTTCCCCCTCCACCCTCTGCAAAAGACACTTCCTATTCCTCAGATCCATTCAATGTACCTCCACCAGCAAGGCATCCACAACGACGCAATGCAGTCCGTGCGGAACGTTACAGTTCAGAAACTTTCAAGCCACCACCTGCAGCCCCTACTCAGCCAACAGCAGCACCAACCACACAGCAAGAGAAGCACTGGTTTGACCAAGAGACAGAATCCCTATTTGATGAAGGTGAATTAATCACTCCACCAATGTCAGCTGCTACAACAACCACAGTGACCACTACAAGTGCTGTGTCAGCCATCTCACCAAAAACTGACCAGGTACACCACACTCCTCTACCTATATAGCAAATGCTTTGTTACAAACAGCTGAACTGCGCAATGGTTGTGAATGATAATTCAAAAGGAATGTGCAGAGAATGTGGTCACAGTAAATTGCAGAATACCATAGAGGCTGAGGAAAGTCTCAAAGAAAATTCTTAGAACAGCTAGACTTCAGGCTCAGATTCAAACTAGGAATTCCTCAAGTACCAACCAGTGGATAAGAAAGCAGAAGCCACCGAGACAGAAGCACAAAACTGATTCTGATTCAAACTTCCACATGAAAACAAAGGTTGTACTCACACAGTTCTCTTGGCATGGGTCCTTGCTTTCTCTCATTTTGCCAGCCTTATTATAAAACTTACTTACTCTTTTATAAGAAAGTATGTGGAGCTAGGACAGCTCAGTCAGTATAGTGACCAGGCTGCAGGCCAAAAACCAGGGTTTGTTTCCCAATAGATTCAGAGATGTTTCTCTTCTCAACTGCAACAGCGTCCAGAGCACCTTCATCCCCCTCTCCAGCATCCTGCTTGGTAGGTACCAGAGGACCTTTCCTTATAACAGAATGGAATGTGAAGCTCTTCACTCACCATCATGAACTGCCTCCACTCCACGTTTTCATGTCATGTTGCTTAAACACAGACATAAGTGTACCTTTTTACATCAGAAAATACCAGCAAAGTGTTTGCCACTGAAAGCACTGTACTAGCCCCTGTGATCACACTACCATGTATTGCATATACATTGCATATACCTTGACAGCACATAGGCACTGTGCAAAGAAAAGTCTTAATGCTACCCCCAAAGGATACAGTTATCCAGTCTTAATGTAAGAGGTATGACAAAGGTGAAGTTATATCCACACTTAATTAATTAAGCAGCATGCCATGAAGGAGGTGAGTAGTCAGCTCCACCACCCAGCCACTTTACCCCCATACCCATTGTATGGAAAGCTGGCTGGACCCCAGAACTAGTCTGGACATTATGGAGAAGAAAAAAATGTCTTGTTCCTGCCAGGAACCAAACCCAGTTCCTTGGTCATCCAGCCCATAGCCTGGTCATTAAACCGACTGAATTATCCTGGCTCCCAAGAGGCATGATACATTTCTAATTATAATATGAGTGTTGGGACATATAATTCCCTTTCAATTCTTTCTTATGCAAGTAACTGGAAGAATAATTGCTAATTCTACACAGATAAAAATGCTTCAAGAAAAACATGCACTATGTTTTTTTTTATTTGTGTGGAATCGAGTACTAACCCTCGTACATGGAATGAAGTCTTGGAAACGTGGCAGTTAATGACTGTGTGTTACTTTGCAGGATTCAAGCGAGAGTCCACCAACACATCCGAGTGGGAGCACCCAGTTTGATGTCTTCACTGAGCTTGATCCACTGGGAACTGGGCGCAGCAAGCCATACGTGGACAGGAAAGACTTCTTCCAAGAGCTTAAAAATCCACCAAAGAAAGTTCTCAAGGACCTGGTAACAGAGGCACCAGCAAGCGAAGCGACTGCCCCCTTGTTCCAGGCCACCTTTGAAACAGGTAGCAGCAGTGTGAATGCAAGTGACGGTGTAGTGTCCACTGGGGAAGTTGTGTTGTCCGCTACAGACGCTGTGGATACTAACAATTCTAGCCCTCTAACCACCACTACCACCACCATCACCACCACAAAAGGGACTCCCCTAGACGTGGATCCATTTGCAGAAACTGATCCATTCTATAAAACTGATCCTTTCACAGAAGATGACTTCAGTCAGATCTGTGAGTTTCCACCTCTAGCAGGAAGTCAGGATCCCTTTGACACAGGGTTTGCAGATTTCACGATGTTTGGCAAAGGTCGGAAGTCTGACCTAACTGACACCAGTACAGATGTAAAGAGAAGTTCTCCACTGCCTCAATCCGACACATCTGTGCCCTCTCCAGCTGCTTTCCATGGACCACTGCGTGTCTCACTGCCACCAGAGTCTGTGTCCAATGAAGTCTTTACTCCTACTACGACACATTCTGCTTCAATCCACACAGGATCTCTAACAAAGGGAAGAAGCAAGACTCATCGTTTCCACAAGCAGGCAACTATGGTGAAACTGCCCAGCCCGAAGTCAATACAGCGCTCCAACAACCGCATGGCAAGGCAGATGACAGTGGATGTGTGTAGCAGCATTCCCAATCCCCTCCATACCAGTAACACTCCTCCCACACCTCCTACACCCCCAAGATCTGATAGACGATCACCATCTGGCCAGGGCATAACCTTTCGTAACCGTGGTGCCATAACACCGTCGCCTCCTGTTGTAGCTTGTTTCCCAGATGTTGGAGATGGAGACAGTGCCTCACGGCTATCTGGCTCCAGTGCAGAGCTTGCAGAAATTGCTCCAGAACCTCCACCCCGACCTGCAGCCAACATCACAGCCATCAAGCCGCCACCACTCCCACCTAAAAGACAGCAGGCTAGCACAGTCATCAAACCCCCACCTCGACCTCCCCACACTGATGAGCAGCCCCATTATGACTACATAGATGAAACCTCATCACCCACACTGCAGGATGAAGATGATCTGAAAAGTCCTCCAATTCCTGTTCCTGCAAGGAGACAAAAGTTTGGGGGCTCCAATTTTGGAACAATTCCAGACAGACCTCAAAGGCAACTTCCAGTTGCCAAATTTGAAAATGACAACCAGCCTCCATTCCCTTTGCTGCCTCCCCCACAGAAGAAGAGTCCTGCCTCAGATCTAAGGAAGAATGGCCAGGCCGCCAAACCCCGTCCTCTTGCAGCCACCACGATTGCTTCTTTGCTACAGTCCACAACCACTGCTACCACAACTCTGGCAGATGAGCAGCCGTCCAAACTTCAGCAAACCAAGTCCCTTGATATTACACTTAGTCAACTGACAAAAACTGGACTGGCAGATCTTGCAGCCACACTTGGGGTCTCACCTGGGCACCTGTCCAACATGACACTTCAGGACCTCACAAAATGTCTTTCACAACTCTCCGACAACTTCCTAGATGATCAAGCAGAGGGTGAAACAATCAAGAGGGATAAGTATGCCACACTGAGAGAGTCACTTGATGAGGAACCTACATTCAAAGCTGAGTCTGAGACAACGGAAACAGCAGAGGATGTGTTCCAGGAGACTCCATTTGACAAGTATGCAGTATTCAGGGAATTAATGGTGGAAGAAACAAGCAAAGAGACTGAGAAGACAACCACTACAGCCACTGTGACCACAACCACCACCGCCACCACCACAGCCATGTCTAATATTTCTGTTGCCACAACTGGCATGATCTCTGCTCCTGTTGTTGCATGTGGCGATGAGAAGAAAACATCCATTCACCCTGCTGCTGAAACGAGAGTGCATGAATCCACTCCAAAACAACAGACAGAAGACAGATATGCGGCCCTAAGAGAAATATCCCTTCAAGAAATTGCCCCTGAGAAGGAGGATGTCGACAGTTCAAGTGAGAAAGAGGACACAGATGTTACAAGAATGGATGATGACTATGATCTGCTCACACTGTCAAGGCAGCAAAGTGACAGCACAGAGTCTCCTACGGTGGAAACTGCCACAGTACGAGAGCCCCAGTCGATCATAGAAACCACCATCCTGGAGGAGGATGTCAGTGCCTTGGAGGCAGACAATGAAGAGGCTGCAGAAGACAAGATCACTTCTCCAACAGGGACTAAAGACATTGCACCAGAGCCTTTAGAAGAAGCTGTCAATGGTTCTTCCCCTTCTGAGAAGGAAGATGCTGTTCACAATTCTCCAGTAGAGTCTAAACAAAAGGAAGAAGAGGCACCATCTGCAGGGGAAAGTTGGGCAAAGTTTGATGGCAGCCACTTTGCAACAGAGAAGCCAGCATCAGAAGGGCAGAGTGAGGGGGGAGTTTCACCCTGGTCATCAGATGGAAAGGAGTTCAACAAGATTCCGCCAATGGCATGGCAGGAGGGCAGGGGAGGTGGCAGGAGAAGAAGGGCACGAAGATCTGCTCCATGGCGAGAGGATGAAGAGTCTGAAGAAGGGTGGGATGATAGGAGAGGCGAAGATGGAGTGTGGAATGAACGACCATGGAGAGAAAATGGTTGGAGTGATGGGGAATCATTTTATGAGGAGGTGCCACCAGTGAAGGATAGAGGATACCGGGAAGAGAGGAGGGGTCGAAGGAGGAGAGTGTCTCCATGGAAGAGGGGACAGAGATCATCAAGAGATATTTCTCCATGGGAATGTGAAGGAAGAGAGGAAGAAGAGGAACACTGGAATGCAGGAGGTAGCAAGCATTGGCAGGAGCGTTCCATGGATGAGGAGGAGGAAGAGGAAGAAGAAGAAGAGTATGAGGTCTCCTGGAAGACGAGGCCCAAACACAGAGGGTCTTCCTGGGATGACGAAAGGAGACGAAGGCTTGGTTCCAGGGATCTGAATGGTGTCGACTATGAAGAGGGCAGGAAACGCAGGCCGTCACCATGGAGAGACGGTGATAGACGCAGCAGTTGGGAATCTGCATCTTGGGATGAAGATGACAGGTTCTCCCAACGAGAGGTGAGTGAACGACGGATGAGAGAAGAGGAGTACAGGAGACGGTGGGAGCCAGAGATGGAGAGCAAGGGATACATGTGGAGTAGGAAGTGTCCAACTGGGGAGGGGGAGTATATATGGCATGACCAGGCCACAAGGCGGAAACAGGACGGACCCCATCGTTACTATAGGGACAGGTCACGTGAATCACCTTGGGAGGATGAGTTCAGTGAGCAAGGGGAAGATGAATCACCTCGATATCAGAGCAGAAAGTGGAACTGGCCCAAGCGACCCAGCAGTGCTTCAGAAGTAAGAAGAAGCTCAGAGAAGAGCTCTCCAGGGGACTACAAGACCAGGATGATGGAGAAACAGCAGCAACAACACTCGCTCCCCACAACTGTTCGAATGGAAGGAGACAAAATGGGAAATTACAGTTTCACAGATAGAAGATACCGTGAGAAGTGCAGTGGACGACCTAGGAGCAGAGAGAGCTACTTCAATTCTGACCAGGAGTACGAGTACTGGATCCACCAGGATGGAAGGGCACGCAGAATGGATAACTATGAGCAACGGGCACAAACACTTCAGACCAGACGCCGATACAAGAAAGCTCATGAACAGCGCAGCTACAACCAAAAGTCACCTTTTGACGATGATTTTTCAATGCAGTCATTTGATTTTAGTATTGAAAGTAAAAGTCAAGGTGTTGAATCTGATGCATCAGACGGTGCAAAGAAGAAATCTCCTCTCACTACAAACACCAGTATAAAACCATGTACGCCTACAAATGCACTCTCAAAACGAAAGGACAGTCAGCATTCCGAGTCTGAAACACGACCAGCTGAAGTTGTTCCTAGCAGTCCCCATGACAGTCATGAAGATGACATGGGAAAAACAAGAACATCAAGGGGATCTAGTCATCGGCAGTCTCCATTTGAAGATGATTTTACACCAACAGACACTCGAATGTCAAACACAAGACTTATGTCCAGCATTTCTAGTGACATTAGTGATTATCCAAAGTCTCCTTTTGAGGACGTTAGGAGTAGTGGCAGGGTGGAGAGTTTAGCAGAAGAATCTATGTATGAAAATGAAGTAGACCAAAGAAATAGTAAATCAAATGATGATGTGTTCCTTCCAGCAGAGAATGAACATAAGTTCGCAGACTTTGAAAATAACATGTTTGATAGTTGTAGTGAATTTGTGCCATCAAGTAAAAGTTCTACAGAGTGCCGACGTGTGGACAGGAGGGTGTTGGCTGCCATGTGGAACAGTGAGGAAAGTAACAAGAATGAAAAACATCCATCAACTATGAAAGTTCGTATGTCAAATCTGATGCGGGTCGATTCTTCATCAAGCCTAAGGAAATCTGAATCAGTGAATATTTTTGGACGTGAAAGTGATCCATTTGATGATGACTTCTTCAGCAGTGAAGCAGCAGTGGCAACGCTACCCCGTCATGGAGCAGACCTCTCAAATCGTGTGCCCGATAAACCCAACTCTAACAACAATTCAGATGAACACTTTAAGTGGACCAAGGCTTTTGATTCCTTCAACTTTGAAGAAGAGAAATGAGGTAAGTCTAAATATGCAAGCTTTGTTCTGACATTCCCTAACCTTGGCCTGTTATGAAATGTTTTGCATGTTGTCTGTACTAGATATTGATGTACTACTTTTAAAGCATGTTTTCAACCCTTCACAGTGCCCACTAAGATCATTCCATAGCAGCCTCCATAGTCTAGACGTAACGTTCCCACCTCATGACTCGTGGTACACGGGTTCAAACCCGGCGGAGGTCGTCGAATTTTTAAGGGCGGAAAAATTCAGGGAACAAGTCCTCTGGGAGGGACTTTGTGTGTCCC